TTATAATTCAATTTACTGGAAATTGGAATGCTGGCACGACACAAATCCACTTTCTTAAAGGGTCTGAAGAGGATTTTTGAAATATGGTTTTTGATATTGGATTACGACGAGGAGATCTTTCAAATGACGAAATTATTGAAAAAACAAAAAAATCGGGTTTTAAAGATGGTGAACTTTTATTCAAGGATGATAAAGTTTACTGGCGAAAAAATTTTTCCGAACATAAAAAGAACTATCTTCGTGATTACCCAAATAGCAAGCCTTTATATCAATATAAATTAGAACTCGAGAATCCTTATGAAGCTTCAGACAATTTAGATTATGATAGCCAAATGAGCGAATATAATTCAGACGATTCACAATATACAAAAGAGAGAAAGTTGAAAAACAAAGCTAATGGAAAAAGAAAAGCAGACCAATTAGAGAAAGCAATCATTAAAAAAATTAAATAAATATATTTCATTTAAAAAATACAGAATAACTATTTCGATTGCCTGTTTTCTTATCATGTTTCAATTTAAAATCTATCGCTTGTTGTTTGGCTTGTTCGCTAGTTCTATGTTTATTAATACAAAACCATTTACTTTTTTGTTTGTTATTCTCCGTCCATTTAAATCCCCAACTATTATTAAATTTGTCAAAATAAATTCCATTATAACCTGAAGTATTATTTTTTTTGCAGTTTACAATTTAAAGCATTTTCTCTTTTTGTTGTTTCTCGTAAATTAATTTCACGATTATCAAATCCGCATCGGTTAATATGATCAATCATCTTAAAAATTGGTTTGATTAATCAATGAAATTCAATAGTTGTCCGTTTATTTTCTTTTATTATGTTTGTTTTAATATAATAAGTATTTTTATCTTTACCACAACGCCAGATATATTTTTTTATTATACCATAATTCTTAATATCAATTAAAAAAGTAATTCCTGGTTTTTGTGTCTCAATCTCAAAATAATCAACATTATCAATTGATACTTTTCGAATTCGATTGTAAAGTTTATTTTTATAATTATGTTTTCCTTGTTCACCAAATATCCAAAATGTTTTGATCGTAAAAGTTGGATGAATTTTCCTCCACGAAGAATTTTGAGATTCAGTTTCCAAGAACAACTTTGTTGATTCAAACATTTTTAAAATTTAATGAGAATGTCAAAGGAATTAAGAATACCTTGCTTCATATTTATACTTTCATTCAGTTTATTTATTTAATTAATTAATACAAATAAATATTTCGAAAATATTTGCAGCTACTACACCTAAAAAACCATTTTTTCTGTCATTTGAATTTCTGAAAAAAATTTGTTTTTGTTCTTCAGGACATTTACATAATTCA